TGGTAAAACGTAAAACAGGAAAGTTGTATCCCTTTGAGTTAGCTTTCCAACCATATATTGTGGAGCCCAAATGGAGTTCTGAGCAAAAAGTTATGTCTATTTTACTAGACAGGCGCAATATGCCTCCTCAAGTCTTCGTTCGTACTTAATTATCAAATTTGACCCCCGAACACGATCTCGGCTTAATTCCTTGAGCTTTTACTCAGACTTCAAAGCTTCAAATCACTTAAATTTATTCCATAACATCTATATAGCTCGGAATCACACCTACAAGGCATAAAACACACAATTAATGCAAAACACTAGCGATTAAAGCGCAAACTCAATTAAAGTGCAGTAAATTCGAATGTAATAAGCGACTAAAATATACAATTATAGCCTATCATCAAGCTGATTCTGGGGTTGGAGGTAGTGGAACCGGCCTTCCATAACTAGATTTTACCACCTTCTGCTAATGTTGCTTTTCTGTAGCACCACCAAACATAAAGTTAGTCTACGTACGTGATTCACTTATAACTAGACAAGCCAATGAATTAAGTGCATGCACAAGGAAATAAAACAAAATTCATAAATTCTGGGGTTAATTACTCAATACCGAAATTGTGTTAGAATGCCGCTGTGTTTCTCTGTTGCCTCCTCTAAGAGAACTCTATCTCAAAAGTCAAAATGACAATTTGCTGGGACGAAGCAAATAAATTCCAGCCTTGTTTATTGATGTTCCTACAACCGTTTAAAACCGAAAAAATAAATCGGAAATAACCTAACCGAATTTTGAAAAAACCGCATCGAACCGTAAATACTTTGGTTTGATTTGGTTATTAATATATCAAAGCCGAAAACCGATAAACCGAACCGTACTTTCATAATAACCGACCGAACCGACCGACGCCCACCCCTAAGTGGAGGTCCTACCGAAGGACGTCTCGCTCGATAAAGAGTGGGTGATGAAGGTGAACGCGGGAATGGATGCCGTCGAGATCTTTGGCCAATACTTGGGGAAGGTGGAAGGCACCCTAGTGTTCTTGAGGGACACACTCTTGAGGAGATTGAGAGTATCCAAAATGACTTGGAGGGACATACAAAAATTGAGATTGAGCTAAGGCAAACCATCACTTCCTTGAAATGCAGACACATGGAGGCTTTGAGTACTATCGTTGTTGTCAAGGCAAAGATAGAGTCACCCTAGGAGCATGTCGATGCTGGTGTGACCGAGGCAGAAAACAATGTTGTTGTGACAAGAGAGGCAAAGATCGAGGCTCCCAAACCATCGCTGTTCAAAGGTGTTTGTGATGCACAAGAAGTGCAGGACTTCCTTTGGAACTTGGAGAACTACTTCAAGCTCGGCAAAGTGAGAGACGACTAGGCCAAGATCAACACTGTTGTGTTGTACCTCTTAGAGATTGCCACACTATGGCATCGTCGAAGTGTGCTGACATGGAGAAGGCGCTGCATGATTGAGACGTGGGAGAAGTTCAAGAAGGAGTTGAAGAAATAATTCTACCCGGTGAATGTGGTGTACGAGGCTAGGGGGAAGCTAAGGGAGCTTTGACAGACGGCCACAATTCGGGAGTATTTGTGCGAGTTCACTACCTTAATGCTGCAATCCTGTCATGGCTCGAGGAAGATTCCCTCTTTTACTTTATGAATGGGTTGCAAAATTGGTCAAAGCAGGAGCTAAGAAGACATCAAGTAGCCAACGTGGACGAGGCCATAACGGTAGCCGAGTCGGTTGCTGACTTCAAGATGGAACCTTCCAAGTATAAAGAAGGCAACACCGAGAAGGGTGGGGGAGATCATGACAAGGACAACGGAAAAAGGCATAGCCGAGGTATACAAGGGCAATAGCAAAAGGCCATCCCATAATAGACAAGGTACAAGAGAAACGACAATGGGCCGGAAAATTGTAGCAAGTACGTGCCAGGGAGGGTGCTACTTTTGTAAAGAATCACATCGGGAAAGTGAATGCCCAGAGTTGGGGAAGCTTGCAATAATGATCAGGAACTTTGCTTAGGCACACAAGGGTGACACAGGAAGGACTGTCTGCATTGGGGGGATGCGCTTGGAATCTAAGTCGAAAGTAGGGAATTCCAAAGCCTATCTTGGCGCATTACAAATGGAGCATGGCGGTAGCAAGAAAAGTTGGACGGACTTAGTTGAAGAGGAAGGTGAGTTACAAAGGCTGAGACCACGAAGGGCATTCAAATAGGGAGTGGAAGCATAGACCCGATACTTGAGAAGCTGCTAGACTTGGTCGAGTCATGGGGATATTCAGGCCAAGAGCAAGGAGAGGCATCCGATGGGCGGTGGATCAAGGTCATCATTGCTATCCTTCAAAAGTACAAACGGAGCAACAAGAAAGTTGACCAACACCTTGTGACATGGGAAGGCGAACTGCTCGATAGGGCATCATGGCTAACAGACAAAGATCTCTAGCGACGAAAAGGCGAGATGCGCACGTACGTGTAAATGCTTTGTGCCGAGGGCAGCACAAAATTTGGTGGGGGAGAGTGTCATGACCTGCCACATCATCATGCCCCGTGGGTACCATTTGGCATATATTTTTTCTATATGAAAAGCTTACACAGGAAAGAGGCTAGTAATTGTAGGAAGGTTCTAGAGAAATAGAGAGGTTTCCCTAGGAAACCCTAGAACCCTATGGATTTGCTAGGAAAGTCCTTAGAAGATTCTAGCTATGTAGAGAATTCTAGAGAGGGGACTTACTTGTAAATAATAAGGGACTTGTCTAATAATTTTTATTTACTCACTAGCCCCTAGGTGACTATTATATAAAGGAAAATATTCATTTGTAACTCATCAAGCAAAACAATCAAGTTCTCTACGATAAAAAGCGTCATTTGGCAAATTTCTCATGTCTTTCTAATCTAATATTCTTTAACGATCTTGAGTGTAGTATTTTAGGCTGACTTGGCATAGCAAGATCGTGAGGGAGTTGTGCAAATATGTGAGCAAATTGTCAAGTGTCGCACGTGCGCTTAGTTTAAGTCTAAGGACGTGAAATAAAGGATCCGTTGGCCATAGATTTTGCCAAAAAAAAATTTAAATTCTTTTTGGCAAATACATGTTTGTTCATAAAATTTATCCATATTTTGATAAATTTTCATATCCCAAAACCAGCTCAAGAGCAGGTTTTGGCCCAAAATATTACTATTACATTTTTTTAAAATTTTAAAAATTGCCCCAAACATTTGTATTTTATAAAAGAGCCCACCATTTATTATTTTATAACATGTTGTTTCGTCTTCTCAGTCATATGATAGTGTATTATGTAGTTCATTATAAAGATAATAATTTGTACCAAATTTATTTATGTTCAGGACTATGGTTTGTGATAACGATAATGAATGTTATTGATGAAGGTACTATTGGGTATTTGTGATAGTTTTTAGAACTTGTGGGTATAAGTCATATTTCATGTTTTTCAAAAAAAAAAATGAAATATGTTTTGAAAACTGATGTCCAAACACATTTTCATCTTCAAATCAGACTTCACCCAAATCAAATTTTGCAAAACAAATTTAAGAATCTATGCCAAACGCTAGCAAAGATAAAAAAAAATTTGGCGTCGGATTAAAATCAAGTAATGTGTATTCATACTTTAATTTATTGTTATCAAAACTAAAATTACTTGAGTCAGATAGGTTTTTTTCCATTTCCGTGTTGTCTCTGTTTTCCTTCTTCCCTATTGCGTCTCTCTAAGAATACCGGAGGGAATAAGAAGAAAAGAGCACTCTGTTCTGTCTTATAGTCAGTTTGGTCAAGCTTTTTTTTGAGCCAAAAGATTGAGGTATTTGGTCAAGCTTTTAGATGGAAAAAAGTACTTTTGAGGAGAAGTAGAAGCAGTTTTTGAGAAGCACAAAAAGGTAGCTTCTCTCCAAAAGCACTTTTGATAAAAATACACTTAGAAGCAGTGTTCAAAAGCTTGGCCAAATACTAATTACTGTTCAAAAGTATTTTTCAAAACAACTAGCCAAACATAAACTGCTTCTCCCCAAAAATACATTTTAAAAAATATTTTTAAGAAAAACACTTATTAAAATAAGCTAATTTTAAAAACTTGGCCAAACAGGCTATTAACTCTCCTAAGTCCCAAATGCTCTAAAAACACCATTTCTATTTTTAGCAGCAAAACTTCTGAATAAACTATCTATAAGCTCTAAGATGTTACGTCACCCATTTCCCCTATCTACCTTCCAAAAATAGCAATCCCTTTCGTTCTCTCCCGATTCCCCATTTCCCTTGTCTACCTTCCAAAAATAGCATCTATAGTATATATATGCGGTCAGCATTCTGTACTTAATCAAATAGCCCCTTTGTTCTATTATAGTATTATTTTATGTGACACTATCTTTTTGTTAGTCCCCTTTACAAAGAATATCATTCATTTTTAGAAATAATGAATTTTAAATTTTTTATTTTATCTGTAATGACATGTTTATAATTATAAAAATATCATAACAGGTTTAAAATCATAAATTTTTAAAATTTATCTTTCTTTTTCAAAAAAAAAAAAAACGAGAAGCGTGCCGATCAAACTCTGCCGTATAAATTAAACAGAGGAAATAGTTAATCTTAATGATTCAAGTTGACTCTTACTTCATAATTTAGGCCCCGTTTGGCTATGAGTTTTGTCAAAATAAATTTGGAATTTATTTTCAAAACTCATATTTGGCCATAAATTTTGTCCATATTTTGCCAAAATTACAAATCTCAAATCTCAAATCCCAAAATAGCTATTGAGATGATTTTGGGCCAAAATCCTAAAACTTGGAAATTATATACATGTTTTTTCAAAATAAAGTTGGAAAATATATTTTAAAAATATATGTCCAAACATATTTTCATCTTCAAACCAAACTTCACCCAAATCAAATTTTTCAAAATAAATTTAGGATCTATGGCCAAACAGTAGCTTAGTTAAATGATGAAAATTTAGTTTAAAAGACAGATATTAACCCTTCAAACTTTGAAGTTCAATCACTTGTGTGTTAAATAATTCTTACATTTCTTATCTCTCCTCCTTGGAACCCGCGTTGTGTTTCTGTACAGTCTCAACTCTTTCTTCACACGGCGGAGTTTATATTGTCATTACATACTCTCTATTAGTAGAAATCAAATCTACTTTGGTTTTTCCGAAAACCCTTTTTGCTATATCCAAACATAATACTGAAGGATACGTAGAATCCTTTGAAATTTTTTTAATACGGAATGAGTATTGTAAGTAACAGAGTGATGTTTCTATCAGGATCTATTGAGATTCAGCCTTTATCGCTCTGATTTATCCAAAAGAAAATTGGGGAACGATTTTATACTTTGATAATTTGAGGCTTCTGTAGCAGCTAGTGCAATAACTTATTGAGTGATTTATGTTTGTTGGACATCTTCAATGTCTTCACATATAGATGAAACATTCAACAATGCAATGGAGATGATGAATTTTGAAGCATATGCCGGATGGTGCTCTAGCCCCCATGCTATAGAGCAAATGTTTGCCTCTTATCCATCATTTTCGCCGATTAATCCAATGTCCATCAATTATGCACCTTTTGAACAATTGAATTATGAACAACAGTTTCCCTGTGAAGGGGAAAATTGGATGTTTCAGCAGAAGAATGATGACCAGTTTCGCGACGAGGCTGATTATGTTACTGATACTGACAACTGTATAATCCCAAAGTCACCTTGTCAATCACTTCCAGAGCGAATGCTCAAGGCATTAGAACTATTTAAAGAATCATCTGGTGCGGGAATCTTGGCTCAGGTTTGGATTCCAATCAAGAATGGTGATGATCAGTACATTTTAAGCACCTGTGAACAGCCATTTCTACTTGATCAAGTTCTATCTGGATATCGAGAGGTATCCAGGAAATTCACTTTTGATGTGGAAATGAAACCAGGATCTTTTCCAGGTCTTCCTGGTCGGGTTTTTACCTCGAGAATACCCGAGTGGACATCAAATGTTCAGTACTATAGAGAGGCCGAGTATTTACGTGTACGATATGCAGTTGACAATGAAGTCCGTGGATCAATTGCTTTACCAGTTCTAGAGGATGATGGACATGATTCGCAGTGTTGTGCAGTACTAGAACTAGTCACTACAAAAGAGAAGCCAAATTTTGATTTGGAAATGGGACATGTTTCCCGGGCTCTACAGGTTCTTGCTTTAATTCTATCAGTTCCTTTGTTTTTCGTTGCAGAAGTACCTTTTCCACTGAGAGAGAATTAATTTCAGCGTATTGAGGATAAAAATAGATGATCCAAAATTGTAATATCTGCCTCAGAATATATTTTGGAACCTGTTTAAAAGCTTGATGAGCAGGCTAATAGTCTTTGCTTAAAGTATAACTTCTGGCTACTAGGCTTTTCCTTTTTAGTCTTTTAGTTTTTCCTTTTTCGGAGTGTGTTGGTCATAATAAGTATCGATGGATGAAGTTTAGATCAAATATTATTGTCTTTAAGTACCTTTGATTGGATATCCAGAGCTTTCAAAAGAAAAGAAAACGTGATTTTGCAAATGAATTAATTGTTTCAATAATTTCTTCCAATATAGTGTATGACTAAACATCATATTGTAAATTTTCACTTCCATTTTTTTCTGGTGATGCTCGTGATGTACAGTAATTAAGTTCTTTCCTGTCAGCAGAGAAAATATATTATGTTTTAGTTGGATATGTAGCCCAGTTATCTTTGCTCTTGTGTATGTCAAGAGACACAAAGGGGCAGTTTTGGTTGATCAAATGTCGATCTTTATGTGTTAGTTCATAGCTGGCCTGGTCGAAAGTTTATGCTGATGATCATCTCTTAATCTATTTTAATTGTATCCTCAAGAAAAAAATTGGTTTAAGATTACTGTGTGGTCATTTTGCAGGCCGTAAACTTAAGGAGCACAACACCTACTCGATTTACTTCCCAGGTAATACTCAATGTCTTAATCCCATCTGTGATCTATGCCATTTCTTTTTGTTTTGGAATATTTTGTTCCCTTCTAATTTTGCTTCCTTGCAGAGTCTCTCCAAGAATCAAAGAGCTGCTTTAGCTGAGATAAAAGATGTTCTACGAGCAGTTTGCCATGCTCATAGGTTGCCTCTTGCTTTGACGTGGATTCCCCGTATTTGTACAGGAGGATGTATTGCAAGCTCAGATGAAAAAAGTGTATTATGTGTTGAGAATACGGCATGTTATGTGAGGGACAAGGAGATGCACGGATTTCTTCATGCATGTATGGGACATGATCTCGAGGATGGACAAGGTATTGTTGGGAAATCTCTCCAATCCAACCATCCCTTCTTCTATCCTGATGTGAAAGAGTACCATATAAGTGAGTATCCACTTGTTCACCATGCACGGAAGTTTGGTCTAAATGCTGCAGTTGCTATCAGATTACGTAGTATATTCACCGGTGATGATGATTACGTATTGGAGTTCTTTCTTCCTGTCGATATAAAGGGAAGCAACGAACAACAGCTTCTCTTAAATAACCTCTCGCGTACCATGCAGAGAATTTGCAAAAGTCTGAGGACAATATCAGATGCTGAATTAGTTGGACAAGGGGGTGCAAATTGCGGGTTACAGAGTGAATCAGTTCTGGATTTAACACCAATTGACTTGTCAAGGAAGATTTCTCAGCATTCATTATTAGGCAGAACTTTAGATTTGAGTAAAGCAACTTTAGACGTATGTGATTCAGAAATAGCTGGAATGGAAGCTGATGGTTCTCGCGAACAGGTACATCACTTAACTCAACTTCCTCACCTTTATCTAGCCTATGCTCCCCTAGCTTATTTGGTGGACTATGTTTTACTCTGCTTAAGGTCTTAACTTGTTCTATTTTTATAATGTGCTCTTCAGAATCTTTTTTTTCCCCACCCTTTTTACGTGTTCTTGAGTGAATGTCTTTCGCTCTTGAGAAATGTGTTTCAGTAACTCATACTTTATGTGCTCCTAGGCAAGTTATGTTCATTCTATATGTTTTCAAATTGTGATCATCTTTTTTGTCCATCAATACTGAAGTTATTGCATTTTATTTTGTAGACAAGGAGTGCACCAAGAAGACAGAAGGAGAAAAAAAGAAGCGCGGCGGAGAAACATGTCAGCTTGAGTGTTCTTCAGCAATACTTCTCTGGGAGCCTCAAGGATGCTGCCAAAAGCATTGGTGGTAAGAATTCACGCTCTCATCAAGTGGAAACAATTATTTAAACGTTATGTTGGTATGTTTCACGTTCCATTGGATTGCGATTTTCTGATTCTGAGAGATACCTTGCAAAATCTTAATGGACCTTGTCAGATTTTTGTGGCCGTCCCAAATTGGGGCTAATATACACGTACTGAGTAACATCTCTTGTCCCTCTATTTTCCTTCTAACGTGATTTTGGGCTCTAACCCATACATCCAAACTCTCCTATCACGAGTCGAATATGCTATTTTTCTTTGTGCCAATTCAATTTTAATTAAATGTATCGGTTAGTAGCGCCTGGAATTTAGGCGACAGCTTAATTAAGCCAAAAGTTTAGCTTACCCCCAAAGGAAAAACAAATGGAGACAGAAGAAAAAACATTAGGTTAACTATGGGCTGTTCTTCAGTGATTTTCTTAAAAGAAAAGTGTTATATCAAAGGATGCAGACTCTTTAAGGTTTAAAAAGAGTGGTACGTATAAAACTGTTTGAACTTGAAAGCACAAAATTGACGACCTTGCAAACGATGGTATAACAGTTTTTCTTGTTATGTTTTTTGTAGTGTGTCCAACTACATTGAAAAGGATATGTCGGCAACATGGGATCCCAAGATGGCCATCCCGAAAAATAGGCAAAGTGAATCGTTCTTTAGTAAAGATACAAACTGTGCTTAAATCAGTCCAAGGGATAGAAGGAGGATTCAAATTTGATCCAGCCACTGGAGGTCTAGTTGCAGCAAGCTCTATCCTTCAAGATTTTGACTCAGAGAAATGTATCCTCTTTCCCTGCAAAGATATCTGTGTGAAAAATCCGGATTCCCTTTTTCAGGATGATGTGTCTGTCCTCCAAACTTCATGCATTGACAACCACGAGTCTGTGGTGAAAATGGAAGAGGATACACATGTGGATGGAAACCAACTAGCAGAGTCAAACAGTCCATTTTCTGGATTTTGTCATGGCTGCAAATTGGCCGCATTAGATGCAGGGTGGCCTGTATGTCAGGACAAAATGCAATGTACCAACTCTAGAAATGTGTCACTAGGTTCTTTCTGTACGAAAGAAGGATGCAGGAGTTGTCGTTTGAGCACAAGCAATTTAAAGTTGGACAATTCCGGCTGCCATTTCATCAGTCGCTTCCTACATTCCATGCCTGACATTGATGATGTTGAGACAAAAACTAGAGCAAGTAACGAAATGGATGGAGATGATGTTGTTATGGAACATAACAAAGGAAGTTCTTCAGGCATGACAGATTTGTCCAATGTGTCCGGTTCAATGATGAATGGCAGTTCATCAAGCTCCCACAGTTTTGGTGAACGAAAGCATACCAAAGTTAAGGCAAGCAGTGAAGATGGTGCGTCACAAATTACCATAAAAGCTACTTACAAGGAAGATAGAATCCGATTTAAATTTGATCCTTCAGCAGGGTGCTTTCAACTCTATGAAGAGGTTGCAAAGAGGTTCAAACTGCAGACCGGGGCGTTCCAGCTCAAGTATCTTGACGATGAAGAGGAATGGATGATGATGGTAAATGAAGAAGACTTGCACGAGTGTCTTGAGATACTCGATTCTGTTGGTACTCGTAGCGTAAAATTTCTTGTGCAAGATGTATCATGTGCTATAGGTAGCTCAGGCAGCAGCACCAGTTGCTTTTTGACAAGTGGCTCTTAGTTATACAGTGCAGAGAAGCTTCTTGTGTTGTATGGTCTTGGCAGGAATACTCCATCAGAGCCGTGGAGGATTTCAAGTATATATGGATCAGCTGTTGGTTCAGTAGAGCTCTTTGTTCTACTATCACTTTTATGCAGTTGATATCGAGTCATCGATACTTGATCCCAGCAAGAGATCCTGATAAGAAAAACTGAAGTCCATAAGAGGATGCACTAATAGAAGCATAGTCGGCCAAAATCATTTGTTAATATGTTATATATGTTGTGTATAGGTGAGATAAGTGTCAGGTAATTGTAAGAGTTTAAAATAGTTAAGGCACTGCCTCGGCTGGTAAAAACTGTTAGTTTAAGATAATGCTTAAAGGTAATGGTGAAAAGTAACCTTTAATAGTCTTTCTATAAGAAATACAAAAAGTTGTCCCTTCTGATGTTAGGATATTTCTCCTTTGTAACATTAGTCACAATGTCATATCTTTGCATGAACATGAAAAACAAATATTCGCATTATGTATTTCACCAAATAAAAAATGAAATACTTTTTGCTGTGCTTAAGATTAATCCATACAAAAGAAAGACTCTCTATGCTACATATTTTCTTAAATAACCTATTTTGCACTTGATACTCACTTTAGGCTCTCATACCTTACTTCGAAGTTTAGCGACCATCAGTGATTATCAACAATGTTTAACAATGTTATTTTTCTATTCAATATCTTTTACAGCTGTCAAGAATTCAAATTAACTAATTTTTTTATTTTAATATTTCGTGTCATATTTTCTCTATCAAATTAAATATTTGACCATTATCCTGATGATTTCATATCAACATTTTGAATTCCATTTTCAATTACATGTTACTATATAAAGTTGTACAGAAGGAGTAGTTTTTTTTTTTTGGTTCCTGTTTTAGTTCTTTGGTTTTATTTGTTCGGCAAGATCTTAATATCGGTAACATATTAGCTTAAGTTGCATCCACTTCATAGATAATTGGAAAGTCGATATACATCTAGTAGTGTCATGTGAGCAAGTCAGGTCAAGTTTGGACGGGTTAAAGTAATAAATAGATGGAAAAAAATAAATGGCCGGTGAAAAAAAAATAACAGAGATAAAATCTGGAAAAAAAATATCGTATAGTTCACTAAAATTTTCAGGGAAAAAAAATTGATATTTGACTCAAATATCATGAAGATATAAAGTGAAATGACAAAAAGAGAGGATAAAACATACCTTGTGGCTTGTGAATCAATTTAGTTTCAATAGTAGGACTAGGAGTATAGGTTTGAATGTTACTTCATACTTGTAACTGTTTTCAAAGGGTTGGAAGGTCCAAGGTCAATATTTTGAATGTTCTGTTATTTATAGATTTAATATATAAAGTATAAATTTAAATTTATTCAATTCGATTTGATAATTGTTCGTTTTAAAAAAATATACTCTAATTATTCGATACAATTATTGAATTACATTGAAAAGTATAATTTTGTTACAAAAATCTAATAATCAGTTCAACAGATCCAGTTAGGTCAATTTAATTGGTTTTCAAAGCATGTTAAAACCCCTAATCTTAAGAACCATCTTGACTTTGAATAAAAGTATCCATCGTTTTTATTTTCAAATTCAAAATTGAGTTATTTGCTTTAGATATCCTTTCTTCCCGATTTAGAAAGCTTTTTAAAAGGCGAAATATATAAAATGGTCTTTTTAAGTTATCCACAACGATCATTTAAACAATCATGTTTCAAGTAATAGTCAGAAAAAATATGCCTCGTAAACACCTAAGTCCAACTAATCGTATTCGTGAGTCACCTTTGCCAATAGCGTGTCAAATAGACTAATTTAAGAACAACGCGTAAAATTTAATTTGACACACGTAATTAACAAAAAAATACATTTAAAGAAAAAAAACCTTTTTCCTACTTTTTACTAGACCAGTCTCCCCCCCCCCCCCCTCCTCCCAGGACCTGCCGGAGGGTCAAGTCACTAAAGCAAAGGCTTTAGGCCCCCGGCCTTTGATGCCCCATTTTTTTTAATTAATGACGTAGCTCCTATAGTTAATTTTTCTTAACAAAATATTAATATTGACTATTGTTTGGTAAAAAAGAAAAGTATAGGATTTTTATTAAAAAATGCAAGAGAACTATTTAGCCATGTGATTGATGGTGACCGTTGAAATTTTCATTCTAATAATCAATATTCTTTTTCTTCTTCTTTCTCATAAGTAATAAAACTTGTATTGTCTACTTTTTTGTTCACTCCGTTAAATTATTTATTCTCTCAAAAATAGGGCAAGGGCATTGAATAAATTAAATTGTGCATTTTTTTCTTTAAAGTTTTCAATCATTGCAACAAGCAAATTGAAGCAGTGAAATCTTGTAGTGACATCAAGTTATCAACTTCTAGAATCAAGTTATATTATTCTAAATTTTCTATTATCTTATAATTATATTTTACATCTGGTAAATTTTACTTATAGGCTATTACTTTTTATCGAATATTAGGATCAAACGTGTCAACCAAAAATTATAAATCAAATTACTCAAAACACACACAAAAAAGGGGAGAAAAACTAATCTTCAATACAATCTCAAAAAGAAGCGATCTAACCAGTGCCTTAAGCAAAATTAGATGAATTGAATAAATTGGCAAGTGAAAAAAATATAAAAAGAGAATCAATGGTAAAAACTTATTAACAACGTTGCATCTTCAAAAAACAAGAAAATTTACTTTAAATAAAACGAAAAATGGCCAAAAATGTCCTCCCGACTATTCGATTTGGTACGAATATGCCCTCCATCCACCTATTGAGCCAAAAATGCCCCTCCATTATCTTTCTGGCTCACTTATGCCCCACAACTAATGGTCAATGCCACACAAAAAAAATATTTACTTAAACTACACGTAGAAACTTTTTATTGGTCCAATTTTAAACCATGACCCCAATTAAATAAACCCACCCTTAACCCATTTTTTTAGCCAACCCAAAAATTTGACCCGCCTTAAAAAATGGCAAAACTCTTGATTGTCAAAAAAATTAAATTACGCATCTTTCCAGTTCTACCACCATTATAGCTGCAATCATCCCCTGTCCTCCATAGCAATTACGCTGCCACCATATTTTTAGTCTAGGGGCAATTTTGGTCCTTTTTCATATTTTTATCATCTTCTTCATTTTACATTTACCATTGGAGCTGTCATTTTTCGAAAATGTTCGTCAAAAGACCTTAATTTTCACATTCAAATATTACTTACAATGGTAAACCTTTTTTTCTTCCTTATCACATAAGATAATCAAAGAACCCATTATGAATTCATGGGCTTTAAATTCCGGAATAGTCTAGTTTTTTCTTCATAATTTTTGTAAATTTTGCAAACTCTTAATAAATTGTTAGACTCAAATGGTAATTTATTGTATAAAATAAAAAATTTGTGGCCTAGGTACTTCTCCTTAAACAAAATCCTAATTTCACAACAAAAAAAGGACATCAAATCGGAAAAAAATTAAAGATTTTCTAATCGGACCCGTTCGATTAGGTCCGATTAGCATAATGTTGTTATTATTCGAAAATGGAATAATGGAGCAAAATGAGAATAATGGTTGTGGTGGCAGCGCGGTTGTTATGGAGGAAAGAAGGGGGGAGGGGGAGTGGCAGCTGTTAGCCCATTGACAAAGTTCCTCGGCATATGTGGGTTGTGACAAGGATTTTCATGATGGCCTTGGCACACAACCTGAAAAATGTGGCAACATCATGACGGGCAGCTCGGCATGACGGACTATGCGGGGTGGACAAACGCACCTTGAACGGATGCAAGGCGCATTTTACATGGACGTGCGGGTTGGACTAACAATGGCAAGGCAAAGCCAAGTCAAAGCATGGGCCAAGACATGACAAGGAAAGGCAAGGAAAGCAATGACATTGATGTGGGCAGATTTGATCAAGTTGAGGGCGACTTGACATAAGCGGGCAGTTGTGGCAATGGGCGTGTACGGCTAAGTCAATGGGCGGTAAGTTGTGTCCATGACATTGGGGCGGAGCAATGTCAAAGGGCAAGGCTGGGTGCAATGCCAGCCTTGGGCGTGCAGCGGCTGGGCAAAACAAGCACATGCAATGCACAAGCAGTGGTTACTGGGCACATGACAGGCAGTTGGCGGTTACAAACATATCCAAAGCGAATCAGATAACAACAAGCCAAAAAGAATAGAACCTAATTACAAGTACAGAGAAAACATTTTGTTTTCCTTCTTGTTGCCTCGTTGTAATCGTCCATTTTATTTATTACATATTTTTGGTTGCCTTCTGTGGGTGGATTGACTGCTTTAGGTAGACAATACTTACTTGATTTTCAGTCTTTGCAATTAGTGTTTTTTATCTTAAGATTTCGTCTATCCTTTTTTAATTTTCTGTTTGCACAGTGGTAGTTTATTAGACGAGGTAGATTCACTGCTCTAGTGCTTGTTTGCGTTGCTATTCTCCTAGTAGCGCCTTTGTGGTTTCTTAGCTCTCGGATTCCTAGCTTGTTTTCCTTTGTTCTCGCTATTTGTTTTTAGTGGCAGCGATTACTTAATACCTCTAGCTTATAGTGGCTGTAATGAACGATGTGAGAGTAAGGTCATGTCATCGGGTGAGGTTGGAGGTGGGGACTAGGGGTGGGAAGGGGGATTAGGGAGCCTTTAGGCTGAGAGTTGGGTCCTGGAACATAGGGATGTTGACAGGGAAGTCTATATAGTTAGGTAAGATTCTTCAGAAAAGGAAGATCAACATAGTGTGTGTCCGGGAGACTAGATGGAAGGTACTAAGGCACAAGATGTAGACGGGTTTAAACTATGGTACTCAGGAAGCGTTGAGGGTAAGAACGTGGTAGGTATTTTAGTTGACAGGGACCTCAGGGAGCTCGTGATCGAGGTTAGGAGAGTAAACGATAGGTTGATGAGTATTAAGCTTGTAGTTGGAGGGTTTACTGCAAACGTGATTAGTGCATACACTCCCCGGTAGGTTTAGACCAGGAGGTCAAGCATCAATTCTGGGAGGATTTGGACGAGGTGGTGCGTATTATCCCACATACCGAGAAGTTTCGCATGGCGGAGATTTCAACGGACATATTGGGGCTAGTGCTAAGGGTTATGATGATGTGCACGGCGGGTTCGATTTTGGGGATAGGAACGAGGGAGGTATTTCACTGTTGGATTTTTCTAGAGCTTTTGATTTGGTTATAGTTGACTCGAGTTTTTCGAAGCAGGAGGAGCACCTGGTCACATTTCAGAATTTGATGGTCAAGACTCGTAGTAATTACCTTCTCTAGAGGAAAATGTAATAAAGGTCTTTACAATGATATCAAGGTTATCCCAGAGATCACCTCACGACCCAGCATTGACTCCTAGTTATAAACTTGGAGATCAAAAAGAGTAGGAGGAAGAGAGCGATGTGCAGGCAACCTAAGATCAAGTGGGGTAACTTGACCAAGGACAACACTTAGGATTTGGGGGAGAAGTTACTGGCTATGAGGTCCTG